GTTCTTTTTCTTCTCTTCTCTCTCTCTCTCTCTCTCTCTCTCTCTCTCTCTCTTTCTCTTCTTCTCTTCCTTTTTTTCTTTTGTATATACATATATAGACATAGATCTCCAGATCTCGCGCGTTTTTAATCGACGAATGGTCCGAAATTGTAAAGTGGGGTGGATACAGGGTAGGAGCTCTCCCGTTGCTATGGTGACCCCGGATGCCCGGGACCAGAGCTGCTAGTGGAATTACACAGTGCATACATTTATAATGTGTATATAAAACCCAGTTGAAAGCGCACGGCCGTGTTTTACACGGTTCTCGACCGAACAACGAACGGTGCGCTTAATAATATTTTTCTTTTTCTTTTTTTCTTTTTCACCCGTTAACTAGATCTTTCCAGATATAATAGCAACGTAGTCTTTAACACTTAGAACATTAATTTTTTTTTTTTTTTTTACGTATTGATTCTTCGCCAAGCTTTACAAGCCTCTTCAATATTTTGATCTTCGCATTCCTTTAGAAAGATTTAATATTCAGTATTACCTTAATGTAATTCCGTGATCGTAATTTTAGCAGCGATCAATGGGAAGCTTCTACCTTAGCTCGCAAACAAGCCCAGCGGTATTCCGCTTTTGAACACAAATTTCGACACGTTTTCTCTCTTAGCTTGCATCATAGGAAATCGTAGAAACGACGAGACGAATGACGGAAAAAAACAGCATGATATCGCGAAACACGGAATAATTTTTAACGATATCGATTAAAAAACATATTCGATGCTTACGGTTTATTTAAAAATTTTTTTCCCTCCACGAAAAGCTTCATTTCCTTGCGATCGCGGATACTATCGAGAAAAAGGATCGATTGAACGGTTCGCTTGATCGTTTTCAACTATATTAAACGAAAGCATGCGTAAAAGATATTATAATTGCATGGTAGGATGGACACGCGTGAATTCACTTAAAAATTTATTATTCGATGAAATTGCTCGATATCTCTCGAAACGTTTCAACGCTGAATCTTTGGATTGATCGATGCAGAGATTGAAAGGCAACTTGTGGAATTCGCAAATGTCTAACGATAGGTGAACGCGTGCCAATGTCGCGTAAATTTCCGTAAATACGTAGTATTTATATATTCGTGTAGCAGTATACAGCAGTCTCTCGTAGAGTATGTTGGTAGAATTGTCGATTGTTAGGTATTTCTATGATTAGGTGCATCCGTATAGACAGTTACAGTTATTCTTTAGAGCTCGATTCTCTTTTTCTCTCTCTCTCTCTCCATGCGATGTAGCATTGGGTGTGCGCTTTCGTTTGATCTTGAATTTTATTTTCGATGTCGGTAATTATTATTTATAGCGCATCGTGTTAATGAATATCGATTTTACGTAGCGCGGCTTCGATAAGAAGCGTCGTCTAGACGCCCGTGAAAATTTCCACCCACGAAAGCGTATTGTCAATCAAAGTTTTTTTAACTTTTGTCCGTGAACGAAAGCGATAACGACTCGATGCTGCACCACTCGATCGATCTGATTGCGAAAATTTCGCAATTTTTCGAACCTCAAGTATATCATAGTTTCCGACATATTATTATCTTTCGATCTTTTAACAATCTAGAATCTCTTTGATTTTTAGCGACAATTTCCTCTATTCTCTCTCTCTCTCTCTTTCTCTATTAGGTCCACGCATCTTTCCATCGTCGATCGAAAAAATGACGAAAAAAAAAAAAAAGAGATGGAATCGTGCGTGATATCGTTTCTATTTATTATATTCTCTCCCAAGTAAAACGCGATCTTCGATCTAAAAATCAAATTGGACACCGATTGTAAATCGTCAATCGGTCCTCTCTCTCTTTTTTTTTTTTTCAAATCGAAATGTTTTACTTGGGCAATATATAATAATTCTTCCTGTTAACTTTCGCTCACGAGTTCTCCGCCTGCAAGTCTATGCACCTGTATATCTCCAGGTACTATCCGTCTTGGCAATGCGCGCACTGTCTCCCGTAGAATCCCCCGTATTTACCGAAGGGAGTGTAGGCAGGTTGCCCGGAGGATCAGCCGTTCCTCGATCCTTCTGTATCTACTTCGGGCACCCGGCCCATCTTCTCTTCCGAGTAATGCGTTCTCTTGAGCTCGTTGCACTTTATCTCGTAACAAGTAGATACGCGCCGTCTTCTCTCCTGCCTGCTAGTGAGAGAGAAAGAAGGGCGTTTTTTCCCTTAGCCTGGTGTAGAGGAAGACGCACTTTGGTCGAAGGTGAGAGGGGAGTATCTCGAACGCGTGGTACAGTCTTAGGAGTGAAGCGCCTATTGGCAAACTTACAGAGGGCGAACTTGAAGAACTCGGGGGCATTTTAGGGGGTTCCACCGCCGGTGCCCTTGCCCTTGGCGGCAGGCACAAGCCGGAGGAGCTTTCCACATTGGCGGCCAACACCAGATTCTCGAGGAAGGAAATACAGCTTATCTATCGCGGTTTTAAGCAGGAATGTCCCACGGGTCTCGTCGACGAGGAAGCTTTTAAGCAGATCTTTTCGCAGTTCTTCCCGCAAGGTGGTAAGTAAGTGAGAGTAAGTTGTATATAAAGTAGTTTCAACGGAGAAAGGATCAACGCTTCTTTCAGACGCTAGCCAGTATGCTCATTATGTCTTCAACACTATGAAGAGGAAACCGTCTGGAAAGATAAGCTTTGAAGTGAGGATCTTGTGGAGTGTATACTCAAGTACTCGAGTAGTAGATACGATTTCACATAGTTGCCAGTTCCTTTTTTTTTTTTTTTCTATCCAGGAATTCCTCACTATTTTGTCGAAAGTTTCGAGAGGATCGGTAGAGGAAAAACTGCAATGGATATTTGGACTTTACGATCTGGACGGGGATGGATTGATCAGTAAAGAGGAAATGTTGGATGTTGTTGGCTCGATTTATGAGATGTTGGGCCGTTATACTCAGCCGCAAATAGTCGAGCCGCATTTGGCGGCTCGGGAACATGTCGATCGTATTTTTCACGTGAGTATCGGTTTTACTTTTTTCGTCAAATCTATTCACACGATTTATTTAAACGTAATTAAAAGTACGTAATTTATCAATAAGAAAATTGAATTATCAATTGATTATTCATTATGAATTTTTCATCCTCAGTTAATGGACGCGAACAAAGATGGCGTGGTGACAATCGAAGAATTAGTACAATGGTGTTCCAAGGACGAACAACTTTTACGAAGTCTCGACACGCTTGATACTGTCTTATGAGATCTTTACAATTATTTTATAATCCTCGTTCAATTCCCAAGACTCACAAATCCTCTTAAAATTATGATGCAACGTTCGAACGAGTTCTATCAGTAGTTTCTAGAAATTCGACTATTTGATCGTATCATTTAATATTTAATACTTTATGGAAGGAATTGAATTTCGATTGAAATTACTAATTCGACTTCATCGAACGTTGCTTGTAAATATTGTACTTATCCTACCTACCCAGTCTTTCAAACGTGCTATTGAACGCATGATGAAATTAACAGTATTATCGAATCCCTGAATAGAATTCCTTCTTACATCCTGCATGTACTAATCCCTGTGCGATCATTCGATTGTATTTAATTTAAGAAAAATCTTTCAGCTAAAAGAAGAAGATGAATTTGTGCTCACACACAATTTTGATTTCGGCATCAAAAAGTATTATATCAGTACTGTCTTGAAGGATTGGAATATCTCTCATTGGTACTAAAATTTTAATGATACGAATTTAATAATTCAGAGCAAGTTATCGAGCGGTTATTGTAGGTACTACGGAATTGTTAAGTAAGATCGATGCGATGGGAACAAATCAATCTCCAGATTCGTTAAAACGGAGACTGAACTCTATATTTAAACATAACATTTAAACTTTAAGAAAATTTTAAGAATTTTATCAAATTATGCTATAACGTTTTTCCGTAAAATTCACAAAGCGATTTAAATGGGATCTAATATTTCTTAACTTCTATATTTCCTCTAAACTTCTACTTTCACGAGTTAAGAAATATTTTGTACTCCTTCCTTTAAATAATTTCGTGATGCACGTACGAAGCCATTTTTCCTTTTTCACGATCGTTCAATTTTCTCTTAAATTATTAAACAAATAAAATATAAACGTACTTAATACTGACCATCATTGTGGTAATTAAGTACGATTAAAAGTATTTTCAAGGAGCTTCGATTATTATCCATCGTTTGGGTCATCTTGTTATCTTGCAGCGAATATAATTATAGGATTATTAATTAAAAATTTATTCGAAACTTTTACATTTCAAAATTTAAATATAGCTTACGAATAATAAAACAATTCAAGGAACTCGTAGAGAGAATTTATTCAAAGTTTGTTCAACGTTTCAAGATTGTTAAATTCAGGCATATGCGAATAACATTTGACAATCGTTTTAGCTCTCGTAGAAATGAATATAAAAGTTTTCTTCGATCTTGCTGCGAATATTCTTGAATATTTCCAGATATTCTTTATTCACATTAGGAAATATGGCAAGAAAATGCAAAAGTTCAGACTTCAATATTTAACGTTATAAGTTAAAAGATTCGCATATGTCTACATTATAGATCATAGATTTACAATATCTTCAAAGACCCATGTACGATGGAACATATATAGTTAGTAACCCAATAATAGCGTATCGTAGTACCCTCGACCAATCAAGAGAAACGTGGTCCTCTAAGATCAACGCCTCGTGTGATTCTCTCGTACCTTATTACATTTATTATTACTATCGCATAAAAAATATTGTTATTAATATTGTAATTACTATCAATACTTATTACTTGTCTTCTATCAAATTGAAGCAAGATATTGCGCTCGCAATGAAAATTATTGGCGCATATTCGAGATATTCTAAATCTTATGTGTACAAATATCATCGAATTTGTTGAATTTCTCAAGTTTATTAAAATATCCATATTATATTTGAGAAGATGTGATTTAAAAATGTTCTATATTATAATGTCATGTGGATATAAAGAGATCAAGTCAACGTTTATACATTCAATTTCTCTGGGATATGCAATTTAGACCAGCACATCCTATACAAAAATATTTGTTATATATCTTATATCAGTTCCATTCAGGAATCAATTTTTTTTACAAACTGATTGCTGATGGATTGCTGATAAATTGTATACTTATGTTTATACACGTGTGTATTGCAATTTGAATCGATTATTTTCATTATTTTTTTAACAGTAATTATAATCATAATGTTAAAACAATAATTATACTATTTTATGATTAGATATTCTTCGATTTTTTTTTTATCTCTGTTCTAATTTTTTTTTTTTTTTTGGGACAAATTGAAAGTATTAAAGAAAATAGTTTTTATATTTAATAATATCAAATTTTATTAATTTTAGATATTGAAAATATCACGATTATCTTTTAAAATAAAATTGGTACTAATAATTTTTCTTTTAACATTATAAATTGTATATGAAATAAAAATAATTATAATTATAAAATGTAATATGTATCATATATATTATTTTCGACAAATTTCATAAATTTTAAACTTTTTTTTATTCTTTATATTTCATTTGATTTAATATAAGTGCAAACATAATAAAATTCATTTTGTTAAAGAGAATCACAGATTAGAATAGACTGATCGTTCAATTTTGTGACATCTAGTTCGAAGTAACAGTAGTATTGGATATGCATCGCCGACCGAGTACGAATCCAAACAACATGTATTGAATAAAGTTTGTTGAATATAACAAATATTTTTTTATCGAAAAAAAATTACATCGAATTACATTTTATTCAAGAACAATAAATTAATTAATTGTTATTTGTATAAGAGATTCGTATAGGATTTTTCTTCTCTTTTATTATCTTTGTCTTCCTTTCCTTCTTTATCATCTTTCTCTTCCTCTCCTCTTTTATCATCTTCCATTTCTTTCCATCTCCTCTTTTATTATTCTCCTCTTATTTTCTATTTTTATCATTCTGCTTTTTCTCTCTTTTTTATCACTTTTCTTTTTCTTCTCCCTTTATTATTTTTATTTTAATACTCTCTTCTTCTTCTTTTATTATTTTCCTGTATTTTCATACATTTTATATATTTTTTATGTATATTTTTATATTTTTTATATCTAAAAATAATTTAAAAAGATAAATGTGAGGGTTAAATATAAAACAGATTTTATATCAAATTCTATAAATAAATATTAATAAAATGCCAAAAAAATGTTTTGCTCTTGAAAATATGGCAGTTTAAAGTAGTAAATATAAAAGATAAGTATAAAACAGCAGAAGAAGAATAGAGATAGGATAAAAATTATGAAATCAACGCCATCTCTAGAGTGTCGTAAATGAAACATATAAAGAAAAAATAGAAATATATCAGAATTGACTCTTATTGCCATCTTTTGAATACCAAAGACATCTTTTCTTCAAAACAAAATAAGGTAAAATGAAAATTATAATTCCACTCCATCTCTTGTTAAAAAACATTTTGAATGATATTAAAATAGTGCTCCTGATATAGGATAAGAGATATGCTAAATATTAAATTTATTTTGTATCTTGTCTAAGATGATATATATGCTATAATCATCATTCTTATTTTATCATATACATTCTTATGTCGACAAAACAATTGATGATCGTTAATTATAATTCTTTTATTTTAATTCGATTCTGTAATTTCATTCTATTTTAAATCGATAATTTTGTATATAAGAATATGAATGAAAAGAATATGATAATGAAAATTCGATTAGTCTATGCGCATGATTGACCACTGTTTTTTATATCTCATTAACAAAGTTACACAAAACTTTTTACAAAAAAAATATTGCTTTAAAATTATCTCAAGAATTTCCAGTTACCGGTTTTTATATTTTTAGAACATTTTGCATGTATAAAATATCTTGTTTCTTGAACAGTAGTTCAAAATACAAAATCTATATATATATATCTGTATATATCTTATCTCTGATAAAATATATAGGATTTTTTATTTCTGAGTCAGCGGCGCTGGAGTAATTATAGCCTATATATAGGATATGTTATTCATCAGCAAAATTGTTTTTGTGTTTAAAGTTGGATTAAAATAATCATTATTGATGCTTTAACTTATGATAAATAAAAAAGAATATTTTGTACTATATGTTTTATGAAAAAAATGTTTAAAATTGTACATTGTAAAAAAATTTTTAATATAATATTCAAGATGCTACTTAGTGTATGGTATAACAATTGTTTATCTTTCAATGCTAATATGTGTGGTTAATTTTATTTTTAAAAATAAAAATTTTCTACTGAAGTTTTAAAAAATTCCAAATTGTAAATATTTATATTAGAAGAAAATGGTACGAATAAAGTGGTCTTTAACTAAAACACCTAATATCCTTAAGTGAGTAACAAAAAATAATGAAAAAAAAACTTCATTATTTGTTTTAATATATATATAGTTACATTTTATTGTTCTTAGACTTAATTTGAAACAGAAATGGTGGCGTCTACAAATCATTACAAAATCTTTATTTTATAATGAATTTTTAAATTGGAGTTATGTTTGTGATATACTTCTAGAACCAATGTTCTGGTTTGTAGAAAATTTTACTGCATGTTTAGGACCTGTGAGTATTTTTATAATCTTTTTTAATTTTATTTATATTGTAGTATATTAATTTATATCATGTGATTTTTATAAAAATAATTATTATTGGTCACAATGTATTTACTAAGCTTGACAGTTTATAGGTATTTGTAGTAATGGTAAGCCTTTTAACTGCAAGTATTGTGTACATTGCTTATTACATTGGTCTACCATATTGGTGGGAAAAGAGTCCATTGATGACAATAATCCTCTTAGTGATTGGAAATTGGTTATTAGTAAATGTATGTTTTCATTATTATATGGGTGTAAATGTTCCAGCTGGTTATCCACCAGAAGGTGGTCTTATACCAGAGGCTGTGAGTATTTGTAAAAAATGTATTAAACCAAAGCCTCCTAGGACCCATCATTGTTCTGTATGTAATAGATGTATTCTTAAAATGGATCATCACTGCCGTATCCTTTTGAATTTATTATTTAATGTTTAAATATTTTCTTAAAATTCTTAAATGTATATTTTCTAAACAAAGAAACAGCATGGTTAAACAATTGTGTTGGTCACTATAATCATAGACATTTCTTTCAATATATGGTTTTCACAGTACTTGGTATTTTATTCATAATGCTATTTGGTGTAGAAATTGCATATCAAGAATTCTTTCCAACACAGGAGCCAGAATTAGATGGTCATCCAGTACGCATTAATAATTCTGAAATAATTCCTATGGTAATTATTATGATTTTATTCACAAAAGATATTCAGATAAGAATCATCTACTTATCTTATTTTTTTTTTATATTATTTATTATTTATTTATTTTTCAGACTGAGTCATTAGATCATCTAAGTGAAGAAGAATTAGCTGAAATAGCAAAACAAGCTGCAGATACAAATATTAAAGAATGGAAACGTCGACTTATAGTTTTTGCAGCACTAATTTGTGTAGCTACATTTGCAGCATTAGGAGCACTTACATGGTGGCATGCAGGTCTTATTACAAGAGGAGAAACAAGCATAGAAGCGCGTATAAATAGCACAGAAACACAAAAGTACAAAGTACTTGGAAAAATATATCAAAATCCATATAATTTTGGACCAAGACAAAATTGGAAACTTTTTTTAGGAATAATTGGAAGGTAATTTTAAAGATAAAATATTATTAATATATAATTTTTCAATATAATAATTATTATATTTTATTATTTGATTTAACAGAAATTGGTGGCATGTACTTTTTCCATCTACTCATGGACCATATGGAGATGGTCTTACATGGAAAACTATTCATGATACAAAAATATCTTGAGTATAATTTCTCTATTAATAATTACAGAAGTTATACTTGTTTTTTACAGTCATAAAAAATATCATTTTTACAGATTTAAAAATCTTCTAGTCAAACTATACATACTTTAATTAATATAATATAGTCTGAGAATTTAATGTCAACCTTAATCAATATAAATACAGATTTTGTACATTAACAAAATTATTCAACATGTACATATATCGATCACGATACCTTTAACAAACACTTTTATCTAATGTTATATTTATTGTATATTTTTTAAGTATTACCAATATCAAATATATTTTACACTTTTAAATCAGTAAAAATAACTGCTCGGAAAATAAAAAGTTTTTTATCTTTGCAAAACAAGATTTACATCAATAACCAAAAAATTTATGGCCAAACAATATCTTCAATCCAATTAAGATAATATGAAACTCTAGTATATACTCCAGGTGTATTAACAACTCCACAACCTTGTCCAAAACTAGTGATGCCTAATACTTGAAAAAGACAAATATTTTTTGGATGAGATATTTGTAAAGGTCCTCCTGAATCTCCTTGACAAGTATCTTTATTCCATCCACCATGGGAATCTCCTGCACAGATCATACTTGGTGTAATCCCATATGGTATTGTTATAGATTGATTATGTCTTATTGCACAAGCTACATTATCAACAATATCAAGGAATGCCTTTTGTAGTTGATCACTTTGTTTTTCCCCATCTATAAATATTAATAATTTAAAATAAAATATTAATATTTTATATATTTTTTTAAAGGAAAATTTTATTAGTTTTGTAATAATTCAGTTTACTAAATTCTGTAACACCCCAGCCAGTAACCCATCCTTGTGCAGGTACAGTATCATATTGTTGATATAAACAAGCAGGTCTTATGTCATTGTTAAAGACAATAACTGTATTTAATTTTACTAAAGCTATATCAGCATACATAGCAGGGGGTTTAAAATTTGGATGCCTTGTTATCTTATTGATTGTAGTTATGACACCTTGTTGATTATTTTTTATATTATGTATACCAATACGAGCATGTGTAGGACTTCTATTTAACAAAAAATAATAATATTTCTTACAATTTTGATATTAAAAATTTATAACAATGAATAAAACAAATAATACTTTGGCCCATAAGTACAATGTGCTGCAGTAAGTACCCATTCTGATGCAATAAGAGTACCACCACATGAAAAACTAAATATTTCATTTGTACTTCTTGTTCCTAGAGCAACCATGTGAGGGAATTCTCCAGGAGAAGTATTAATACCTCCAACAACAAGACGATTTGGAGGCTTACACTTTTGATTAGTTATCTGAATCACCTCTGAATTTGTACCCACTAGAGGCAATACATCTGTTGTGTCTAAGAATTGTTTTCCATATTCTTCACATTCTGTTATAACAAAGTTATTAATTATTAACATTAAATTAATTAACATAACGTTAAATTATAAATTATTTATAATGATTATATACTTACTAAGTTCCGATTTCGTTTTTTTATTTGAATTTATTTCACTTGGAACTTCATCCAATGATATTCTTTCATTTGGTATATTTATGGTAATATGTGGATTATTTGAAGAAACTATTTCTGTAAGATTATTTGTACTAGAAGTATGTTGTAAAAAAGAATTATGAATATGAAAAACTAGATTGATATTATGATTTTCTGTTATCTTCTTGAATGATTTGTTATTTACAGCTATTTGATTCCTTTCATTATTTTTATAAGATGAGAAAGGAAACATTGGAGTATTTGACAAGAAAGGATTTTTTTGATAATGTATATCTTCGATAGCGTTACGTTTTTGAAGAATTAGATTATTTTTTATATTTTCATTTAATTTTATTAGGTTAAATGTTTGCTTCTTTAAGTTTCCTAAAAATATATTGAGTTATATTTATTTATTATTTAATAAAATGAAAATAATTTAATTAATATATAATTAAAAGTAATAAATCATCTTCTACATCATTTAATATAAAAAAATAAAATATATTACAGTATATAAAAATATATAAATAACCTGTATTTTTCGATGATACTATTAATTCTACATTAAATAATAAAAATGTCGTAAAAATTTTAAATGGAAGTGTCATTTCTAAGTAACACAAGTGTTCTTTTCTTAATCTTCAATTAAAATGATATGAAAAAAGGAAAAAGACCATTTGCGTTGCTACTATAATATTCGATAAATAAAAAACATGATTTTTTTATCGTTAATATCATGTTTCTATCTCTTATTTCATTTTGACAAATACTCAGCAATATTTATAAAGACATATATACATTTAATAAAAATAAGATTGCAGATCCAATGATCCAATCTATATAATATATTACATATCAATGTATATTAATCGAAAGAACATTCGATTGGTTAATTTGTGCATTTCTTTTATATATTCTTGATATCACGTGACTTTGTTACAACATTTTAATCAATGTTTCCTTATCATAAAGGAAATTTCCGGATCATTATATTATTATTTTTTATAATGACAATGAAATCGTTTTTTACTTCAATTTAAATACCCATTCATATGTAATAAAAATGACATATCCTTTGAATAATTTTTTATTTTTAAATCATTCTTATTTAAACATGCTTTATGATTTTGTTTTATTGTGCATTTTAAAAAATTATTAAAATTCATGGTTTTAAAATCAAATAAAAATATATAAAAAAAAAAAATGAGAAAAAATGAAAAAAATTTAAAAATTTCTTCAATTTATAAAAAAATGTATATTATTTCATTCTCAATAATAATTAATGATGATTACACAAGATTAAACGATAAATAATGTAATGTAAGTAAATTATAAATAATACATTATTCTTTAATGATAATCTTTCATTATTAATCGCTATCTAACTAATGTTATTACTACAAATTGCGTGCTCCAGATATTACTACTACTATTTCCTCGCAAAAGCAAATTGTTGTATAAATAAGAGCACAAAGCAAGTATCATTGCGTAAAACTAGATGTCCAATCTGTCAATTGATAAAAGTTTGCGCGTACAGAGTTCATTTTAGTATTCAAGATGCTCTATTGCATGATCTTCCTATTTTGCCTGATCTCAGGCACATTTTCCGACGATACCAAATCGCCACGAATAGTGATCGTTGGTGCCGGTGCATCTGGTATCGCAGCTGCGGCGAAATTAATTGAAAATGGCCTGGAAAATCTTATAATTTTAGAAGCCGAAAATCGAATCGGTGGACGTGTGAATACAGTCAAATTTGGTGAGTTTAGCTTCAACGGAAAGTCTGTATACATTTCGAGAAAAAATTGACCAAAAATCTGTGTACGTTTATAGATGATTATCTGGTCGATTTAGGCGCGCAATGGATTCACGGAGAAAAGGGAAATGTTGCGTATGAATTGGTAGCTCCTTTGAATATTACAGATAACTCTAAGCCACACGATGATGAAGTATACACATCTACAGGCGAGTTGATTGATACCAGAATCACAAAAAATCTTACAGATAGTTACTTCAATTACTTAGAGTCGATTGAATACATAACGAATAACGAATGTTACGATTCCATCGGCGAATGTTTCGAAAATAAGTACGAATTTCGTGTTGTTATACCGCCGCTTCATGAATGTACTCAGGATAAAAAAATTCTTAGACAAATGCATCGTAATTAAGTCTATTATTATAAATTTATTCTAGAGAAAGAATATAATCATTTATTATAAAAACCGATTTAGTATTTAAAAAAAAAAATTATGAAATTGCACCGGCAAAACACATGCGCTTCTTAATATTCTTAAATTTATATTTTTTTATTTCGATATTATGTTTCGAAATTATAATTTTAACAAATAATTTTCTCTAAAATTAATTTAATAAAAACTTATTATTATGTTCTTATCCTGAATTCATATCTAAAGCGAAGCGTATATGTTACGGTATGTCATATATACAGATTTAAAATGAATATTACATTAGGTTGAAAGACGATTTTACGCAATTTCCGGAATTAAATGAAACTCTACAGGAACAATTATTATGGCTTTTCAATATGATGCAAATTGGTTACGATCCTGCTGATAATTGGTATGATATCGCAGCAAAAGGATATTTAGAATATAAAATATGCAAGGGAGATCTAGCGATTAATTGGAAAGAACGAGGATATGGCACTATTCTAGATATATTAATGGTTTGTGCTAGTCATCTTACGATGATTAATTTTTAATCATTGAATAATTAATTTATTGTATATCTTTTAAATAGAAAAAATTTCCAAATCCAGAAGAAGAATTACCCGTATTGAATAAAACGATTCTCAATGTTGAAGTAACACAAGTTGATTATTCAAGTGAAGATAATACTGTAAAAGTAACGACCCTCGATGGAAAAGAATATATAGCTGATCATGTTATTATGACGCCTTCTTTAGGAGTGCTTAAAGAACAGCACGAAACATTATTTAATCCTCCATTATCGGAATCAAAAATTAGAAATATTAAAGTATATTTTTTCTTCTGTTTTTGCAAAAATTAAAATTTAATTATTAATAATTAATTTCTATTTTAGGCAATAGGATATGGAAATGCTTGTAAGATATTTTTAGCATTTAACGATACATGGTTTAATGTCAAAGATACAAATAAAATAGGATATAGGATTTTATGGAGTAAAGAAGAGAGAAAGAAGCTTGATAGTAATGTAAGAATTTAACTTTGCATTGGAAATAAGTATATATATTTTAGAATATATATTTGGAATATATAATTTTTTTAGCCAAAAACGAGATGGATGCCTTATGCGGTAGGTTTCTTTTTTGTCGAACACAAGCCTCGTTTATTATATGTATGGGTATCTGGAAAAGGTGCACGTTTAATGGATGATGTCACTGATGACGAAGTTTTTGATCAAACAGTAGAGATGTTATACAATCTGTTGTCAAAAAATTATAATGTCAGTAGGCCAACTGCAATGATAAGGTATCATCCTCCGCTGTTATATTATTTTTTTTTATTTTAATCTCATTTCAACAGAAATCATTTTGTTTGTAGGAGTAAATGGCATGAAAATAAACATTTCCGCGGTACATATAGTTATCAAAGTATGGAAACAGTAAAAACAAATTCTAGCGCATTGCAATTATCCCAACCAATTATAAAAAAGGGGAAGCCAGTAGGTTTTATTAAAAGTTTTATTAAAACAATTTAAAATATATAAAAACTAATTTGTATTTTTTCTTTTAGATAATTTTATTCGGTGGTGAAGCTACTAATGAACACTACTTTTCTACAGTACATGGAGCTATTGGCTCTGGATGGAGAGAAGCTGAAAGATTGATAAATCTTTATGATAAAAATAATCGTACAATTAATAATATATGATAAAATAATAAATTTTATTTAAATTTGTAATTAGAGACCATTTATTACATTTATTATATATTATTAATATCTAGCTATAAATTGAACATGACCTGATTGAAATTATATATATATATGAAACTATACAATATAAAATATGATTATTTTATTTATTTTGCCTTTGTATACTAACTTTGTATACTTGAAATATATGCCTACGTATATTATACATATATTATACATATATTATACATATATGTACAAAGAAGACTCATATATATTTATATATTTATAGTTCTATCTACATTCACGCTATCACGCATGTTAATAATTAATTCGTAGGAATGTGATGTTGTAGAAAAATTTGTGCTTGTTTCACGCCAGTATCATAAGCGCCATGTGTCGTAGAATAAAAATTTTCGTGCGTTGCTTCACCAGCAAACAAAATGATGGGTATATCCTAAAATAAAAAAAAATGTTATTTATATTAGTATATATTCATTACATTACATCAATACAATCAATTATTAATTTTCATACTTTGCTGTTATGTTTTTCTATTACTTTACTCCATATTGGTTCTGATAAACGATTTGGCGTAATATTATTCTTGTCACATTTTGTTGTAATATGACTATAACTACCTCGAATGTATTTGTTTGTACCCCATTGTGTTTTGAAGCATTTTTTTATTGAAGGTATTTTATCAAATTTTAAATAATATTTAAGTAAATTTTCACAATCCATTGCAATTTGCTGCTCGCTTAAAGTTTCAATAATGCAAGCTCCACGTCCTCCGACCCAACCAAGAAGTATACCTTCGTGATTCGGCACAACATCAAATCCTGTGAGATCTCTAGTCCATACAGCTAGATTTTTATTGCAAAACATTCCTTCTTTCCAAAGTAATTGAAATCCTTTCGTGTTAGGTTTCCACCAAGAAATACCATAATCGAGAAAAATTTTATTATTAAACCGAAACCTAAACATTCAATTCCTTCACTGAAGTGAGATGGTAAAGACGGAATGAACATTGTTTTATAATTCTCTTTTAAATAACCAAGAGAACAAGTAATTATTGCACAATCCGCAAGAATGCGGGTATTATTAGAAGCATTTAATACAAGTGGAGAATCGAAATTATTATTTATTATTTTTTGCCATTCGATTGAATCTATAGAAGTATTTAGATATAAATTTTTTTTTTCCAAATCATCAGTAATGAGTTGGATTAAATCCTTATATCAGGATTTAAACGAAAGATGTTCTGGACCACCAACAAACTATAAAAAGAAAAAATATGCATTTAATATTATCAAATAGTATATATTTAAAAATTTTTTTTTATATATTTATACAAACTTCAAAATTTACCTTAAATTTTCCCCAATATTTTGTAGATAATTCATCAATCGTGAAACATGCATTATCTATTACGAGGAATCTAACATTCCAATCGAAAATTTCTTTTTTTATGGTTTTTATTGCTACTGAATCATTTTTTTGAAGTAAATGTTTATTGAGAGAATTCCTTAAAACTTCACCAATATTTTCATACTCTATTTTGATATCCTTATTTTCATAATCTTCGCAATCTTCCAATGTATTACGAATAAGATCGTCTATCTCTTCTATCAAAGTTTCATCTACTTTACAACCATTGTCGCGAATAAAAATTCCTTGACCATCTTTGCATTGTACGTCTGAGAGCAAATCATGTTTATAACATAATTGTGCTAATTGACTTTTATCACCGTGTACAAATTGTGCACCACATTCTATCCAACCTTTATTCCATGGTATAGACTGAATTCGACCACCGACTTCGCTTTGGGCTATGAAAAAAAAAGAAAAAATAAATAAATAAATAAATAATACTTTTTAAATGACTTTTGTTCCAGATTCAATTACCTTCGATTAATAAATAATCTTTGAAATTTGCATCCTCTAATGTTTTCGCAGCTGCTAATCCTGCAATGCCTGCACCTACTATTACAAGCTTCGTTTTTGCTATTCTTTTATTTGAAGTATTTGCTGTCCT